CTCAGAGAGCTGTATCAGGAGTCAGGACATGCATTGTGCAAAGGACAATTTCTTGTTATCACGCCAACGATATAGGTAGGTAGGTACTAGTGATGTCAATTACGGAAAATCGAGATACCGATACCAAACCAACTACCAACAATATCCATGGGAAAATACCGAAACCAAACCGACTAGGGAATGTGAGGAAAATACCAACTTTTTACCAAATTCTCAGCCTCTTTTACATTAGTGAGGATTCATAATACCAACAAAATACCAAATCCACTCGCCTTGAAATACCGAATACCAAGTTGGTATCGGTTTGGTATCGGTATACCAAAAGGTTGGTATCCGAATGACATCTCTAGTAGGTAGGTACCTCCTAAGTGTTTGATCTCGTTTTTCGTTATAAAACCTGTCAGTATGATGTCGAGCGTACGATGTATGTACCCTGATTCGGTCATGGAAAGGTGTGCCCCTGGGCCAAAATATTTGTATTTGGACCGAGGGATGAACGCAGTACGCTACCAGTGCCAGCGACATGATACCTACTGTCTGAAAGTTCCTGAGAAGTGTGCTTGGCGTGTCCCGAGAGGTGTGGCCGGGGAGAGGGATGTATGTACCCTGATATGAGAAATTCTCATGGGTATTGGGTATGCAGTATGCGGTGATTCTCAACATAATTTGCAGTGCATGGAAATAGATATAACACGCTCACACAATAGTGTTGGATCCACCTGCCCTCAGAGAGCTGTATAGGTCTGGCTGCACTATGCGTTTTCTGCGTGCGTTTTTTTGCGAGTTTGCGTGATTTGCGGAATACCGTTCTAGAAAGAAACGACATTACCAGGGATGCGGAGCCGTGGAAATTTCAGACGGCTCCGGCTCCGGCTCCGGAGAAAAAAATCGACTCCGGCTCCGGCTCCGGGTGAAATGTCATGGCGGCTCCGGCTCCGGCTCCGGCTACGAGTAAAATGGTCCGGCTCCGGCGGCTCCGGCTCCGGCTCCACTACTCAGTACATCCTCCCCAGTAAACATGCCGACGTCGGGCCGAGGCTCGGCCCGACATCGGCTGGACGTCGGATATGCCCGCATGTTCCGACGTCCAGCCGAAGTCCAGCCGACGTCGAGCCGACGTCGGGCCGAGGTCGTTTGCCGAGGTTGACGAGATCGTTTGTCGTTGGACCGACGGGACCAACGTCGGCATGTTTATTGGGACAACGCGCCAAAAATATTAACCGGCGGCGGGATTCGAGCCCCCCAGTCGCCGACGTCGGCATGTTTACTGGGACAACACGCCAAAAGCATCATCCGGCGATGGGATTCGAACCCCGTATCATTTGAACGCGAGGTTAGTGCGCTAACCACTACACCACGCAGCCAGATAGCGAATTCAGTTTGTTTTGTTGGGTGATGCCCTTTCGGTCTGACAAGACCATTTCAGAGCCGGCAGGATGATAGGATGGAGACATTGGTCTTCTTGGCGAGCACCCTGGGTCCAGTTCATATAGAGTCCCTGGTCCCATTGCTGTTACGTGACACTTATTGGAAAGGGCGACCCCACAATGGATTCATATAGCCATTAGCCACTCTTACACACCTGCACCAACGTTTCCCAAAGTGTCCCTTTGATAAGTGGCACTTTGGCAAAGTGACACTTGCCGACTGGCCTTTCTATATGAACTGGGCCCGGCCCTGGTGAGTTACCGGGGCTGAGCCTGACCAAAGGATAGGCCGAGCAGCCCCCAAGCACTCACCGCACCCGGCTGCGGGCGAGCTCGGCTTACGGGCAATCCCAAATGGGATAAAGTTTCCCGTCCAGTCCGGATCAGGGGATTGCGGCGTGGAGGAAGATTTGAGTTTCCTGAGGATATTTTGAATACAGAAGCTCTTTATGAAACATAAAACATGCATTTTATATTATTTTAACGGTCAAAACAGCGGCCGATGTCGGTCCGACGTCGCCCCGACGTCGGCCCGACGTCGGCTGGACCCCAGCAATTGATCTCGGTCCGACGTCGGCCCGACGTCGGCTGGACCCCAGCAATTGATCTCGGTCCGACGTCGGCCCGACGTCGGCTGGACCTCGGCTGGACGTCGGTACATGCGGGCTGCGGGCATATCCGACATCCAGCCGACGTCGTGCCGAGGTTGGACCGACGTCGGGCCGACGTCGGCATGCCGATGCCGAGATGCCGACGTCACCCCGACGTCGGCCGACGTCGGGCCGACGTCGGCATGTTTACTGGGTCTATACAAATAAATACTGCTGGAAGAAAAAAAGATGAAGGGATTGGTTCAAGTCAAGTTGCTTCTGTACTTGCATAACAAGGCTATTTTGAATACCAAACGTTTTACTGCCTTGTACTGTCAAACCGAACTATGTCAATAATTTTCCTCTTAAAAAAGGAGCCGGAGTTGCCGCCTTTTCTGACGGCTCCTGCTCCGGCTCCGGGCTATATTGTTTCACGGCTCCGGCTCCGGCTCCGGACAAAATATGTCGGCTCCAGCGGCTCCGGCTCCAGCTCCGGCTCCGGCTCCGCACCCCTGGACATAACGTTTTTGTTATATGTTTTTCATATAAACTTTTAGTGAATATAAGCGTTGTATTAATTTTAATATAAATATTAAAGAAGTTATATTAATAATAACTGTTTTTTTAAGAACGATATTACGCTGCGCAAAACACGCAAACTCGCAAAAAAAAACGCACGCAGAAAACGCATAGTGTAGCCAGACCTTATCAGGAGTCAGGACATGCATTATGCAAAGGACAATTTCTTATTATCACGCCAACGAAATACCTCCTAAGTGTTTGATCTCGTTTTTCGTTATAAACCCTGTCAGTATGATGAAACCCACCGATTGAGCGCTAGCCCGTGGCCGAGGATGCCGGTGAGGTAGTGGGTCCCAGTGCGGCCTGGTTTCTTCGATGGCTCGTAAAGAGGCACCAAAGAACCGTAAAGAACTACGATTTATCACTAAGGACTCGTTAAAAGAAATTCCAAGGAATAAATTTGTGTCGATAAAATAAGGAAATGAGCTAACACGTTAACCCGCGCCCGGCTGGGGGTCCTGGATTTCCACGCCCTGCTGGGGGGGGGGGGGTGTTTGAACACCCCCCTTCTAACTCGGCTCCTGGGCCACGTAGCGATACGCGGAAGGCGGCGTTCGAAAGAGCGTCAAAAATAATGAGGAAATCACTTCGGTCAATTTTTCGGTCAGGTCAAAGGTCAGGTCACCAGAGGTCATTGAAGGCAAATTTTCGCCGATTTCCAGGTCGAATGTCGAAAATTTCCAAGAAGCCAACGCATAACTCGGGAACCAATAGAGCTACAGCGCCGCGGAAAAGCGCATTCGATAGCCCTATTAACGCCCTTTCTGAGTAATTTTCTCAGATTTGACCTAACGTCAACGGTTTTGCCTGCAGGGGGCAAAAACTGCAAAAATAGCCGATTTTTTCGGAAACAGTTTTTCTGCAATAACTTTTGACCCAAGCATTGTACGAGCTTACTTTTACCGGCATCGTGTTCCTCTCGTCAAGACGCATCGAACGAACTATAATTTGACCTTGAAAGGTCAACTTGAAAATTTGACCTCAGGTCAAGGTCATGACCTGACCGGAAAGGGTCATGTTGCATATCAGTCGATCCGTATCGTCGAGCTGAACACATCTAAGGCGTTTTCATCGCTCTAGCATGCCTCTATCAAAAGTTATTTGCGAAAAACTGTTAGATACCATTCGTGACCTAAGATGACCTCAGGGCATAAACAGGGGTCACAGACACCATTTTCATGTTCAGTGTGTCTAAACCACTTGTAATTCAGTGTTTGGGAGTGTTTATAATGTCTTTCGTCCAAAACAGGCGCATTTCAATTTTCTCCCATTGACTTATAATGGTGAGGTCGCAAAATTGACCTGACCTTAGGTCATCGATATCAAAATTCTGAGATATACATTTTGTACATGCTAATGCTCTTAGCAATCGCTGAAAGTTTCAAAGCGATCGGTCACTCGGTGTAGCTATGACAGACATTGAAACTTTTTATGAGGTGAGGTCACTTCGAGTGACCTGGTGACCTGACCTTGAATGACCTTGGTCTGAAATTTTCACAACATGTGTAGAATTGATGTATGATAAGGTGTACCAAAAACGGCGGCGCTCCGCGCCGCCGTTTTTGAGATATTCGCGAAAAACCACAAGGGGGGGTGTTCAAACACCCCCCCAGCAGGGCGCGGGTTAAAAGTGTGTACCTAACTGCTTCAATATTTAGCATTTATGTAGGAACGGACGCTAAAACGGATCCTCATTTATCCAGTAGGGCGCAAGGTGACACATATATACAGACGTAACATACCTAACATAGATTAGGGAAACGTCTATCATCCGCTGTAGACCGGGCTTTCTCCGGCATGCTCTCGGCGTTGTCCCTCTGTTAGCTTACCGTCCGTCCACATCTTGTTGAATCCAGCTATCACTTGGGAGCGTCGTCCACAAAATGTGACCTCTAATGATTTAGATTGTCGGCTGAAACTAAAAAAACTTACCTAAATAAACATGTGACTTTGATATTATAACGTAGCAATATGTTGAATACAGATAGGTTTGCCGTTGCGGTACAGTTTTTATGAGCTATGCAAACGCCTAAAGGGCTCATTTACGCCATTGTCTGCGTGGCGCCTGCGGTCCGTTTGCTGCTCAACTAAATGTTTTCTTTTCCAGTAGTGTTGTCGTCCGTGACAAGGGTGTGTCGTGATGACGTGATGATGTGCTAATGACGTCCTGGTGTTGGCGTCATCCACACGTCATCGGGTGTCGGGTGACGAAACATTACTGAGGCGAGCCGCTGGGAATCCGGCTTCGGCGTCCCCAACCCAAACCAGAGAAGCGGCGACGCTTGTCATGCCTTATTTTCTGGTATGTTGAGCCGTGAGAGTTTTCTCAAAAGCAGGTTGTCCATATATCCGATATCAGATATGTGGTTGCAATCGCCGTGTTGATAAGTAGTATATGATATGAGACGGTAGCATGTGTATTCGTGGAATTCATTGCTAGTCTGCTGCTTTTTATTTTATTACATATTTATTTATTAATCTTTTTTTTTGACGGGCTGGTAAGTTGTCAACCCTCAGAACAATTGTGAGCCGTGTTTTACATCAGCATATACTGGAAAAACATGCACCCGGATAAGAAAACTCGCAAAGACTTTTTGTTACATTAAACATGCATATAAGTAACGTCACATTTTTCACAAATGTCAACTAATGCACCGCTACGCTGTTGAGTACCAAAATGCACAATTTCCATCAACAATAAATGCTTCTTATCATTTTATGCCGCGAAACATGCGCATTGCCATTTTCACAGAAGCTTTCGCATGCTACAGTTCGCTGTTCTGGGTCTCGAGTCTCGGTCAGCCCCAATCACGTCCCCACATCCGTTCGGCGTCACATCCGACTTTCATCCTGTTCACGGAATGTGTTATCAGAGGCGGACGAGGCCGACTTGAGCCGGGGTCCCGGCGAGTGTCGCCACTCCCGCTCAGTCACGGATAACTGCGACATCATAGTCTTGGAGGAGCTGGGGGTGGGAGGACGCTGGCGATCCTCTCTGCCTGCGGGCACGGAGCCGCCCGGTCAAGGTCAACTCCCAGACTCTTTCCCCGCCCGGTCAAGGTCAACTCCCAGACTATTTCCCGCTAGACTAGAAACCGTACAGCAGTTATGTCAACTGGCATTTAAAACATTCACGGCAGCTGGGATCGGTAAAGGTCAGGAGCACTGCGGTGTCCTTGCTACCTCAAGTCTCGTGCTAAATGATTTTGTGTTATATCATTATTATGTTATCATACGCACTCAGCAGTGATGTACAGTCTGTCTTGAAAGTACCGCAGCATGGGCTGCGGCGGCCCGGCGAACTACAGGTCGGGAGCTCGGTGGTTTGAGAGCCCCAGATCACGTGACGGCAGTGAGCCAGGAGAGAGTGACCGGGCAGGTCGCGTGGGGTGCCGCTCTCCCTTACTCTTTCCACCCCGCTGCGGCGCCTGTCGCCCGGGGGCGCGGGGCGTCTGCGAGCACGAGTGGAGAACTTGACCGGCCCGGCCGATCCCTCGGTGGCCGGATCACCCTTGGAACCGCTTTATTCTCGACGAAAAGACAGACGAAGCCAATCTATAGGCTGAGCGCGACTACTTGCATTGTTATCAGAACAAGACACATATTGAACAAATGAACAATAATTTACGATCATAGAACGGAACAGAATAAATGTAATAAATCTGGAATAACAATGTGAATAACAACACATAACAATGTCATCGCAGTAGTTTGTCGAAAATCTCAGATCTATGGGTTTACCGTTTAAATCTGATCGATTGATCCAGTAAGTAACTTAGGATAAAGTAATTTGTTTCGTATTTATTTATGCGAGATAAAAAGTAAAAAAACTCCCACTCTCACCACCCTTGTTGAGATTGAAACACAATAGTATTTAAGCGAAAGCCAATGGAAGTAAGATGGAATGGTAACCTTTTGCTCATAACTAAAGGAAGCCAAAGCAAATCTTACAGTTGGGTGTTTTTGTCTTCCTTTAGTTATGTGCCAAAGATTACTATTCCATCTTATTAGAAGTATAATCATTATCATGCAAAAAAAAAACACTTAAGAAGGCCAATGGCTGCTACATAAAAAACATCACAAAATAACTAACACAGTATACTCCTTATTTCCTATACATAAAAGTTATAGGCAAATATTTTCATTTTACGATCGACGGGCCAAGCAATTGTTCGTAGCGCCTACTTCCAGGTTGAGGATTGATAATCGTATACCAAACACGGAGTATGCAGATTTATGCCGAAAGGTCACTGAGATTATGGGTATTAACAGATCAGGTAGCGGCATATTAATCTTCAGTTCCTGAGTTCACTGTTCACTGTTCACTGTTCAGTTCAAAATGAGAGTTGAGATCATACGAAGCTGTATGGTGTGAATTTTATTCGTTTAATGATCTATCAAAGCTCCTCTCTCTCTCTTCTCTCTCTCTCTCTCTCTCTCTCTCTCTCTCTCTCTCTCTCTCTCTCTCTCTCTCTCCCTCTCTTTCTTTCTTTCTTTCTTTCTTTCTTTCTTTCTTTCTTTCTTTCTTTCTTTCTTTCTTTCTTTCTTTCTTTCTTTCTTTCTTTCTCTCTCTCTCTCTCTCTCTCTCTCTCTCTCTATCTCTCTCCCTCTGCCTCCATAAGATACTGAAAATTTTAGCGGACTCCAACAAATGTTGCAGAGTCTAAAATAGCTACCAAAGCAGTCCGGAAGAGTTGTGTCAATCCCCGTGCCTGCAAGTGATAGTTACGTTTATGCTTATGGCAGTGCACTGGTCCGGAGTCAGAGTCGGAGTCGGAGCCGATCAGCAGGCCGAAGTCAGATTTGGAGTTGCAGTCGGAACAGCGCCGTCGCGACTCAGAACCCTTTTTCTTTATATTTTCGGCTTCAAAGTAGCTGGCTAGATTTATTGCTTCACAAAGCAGGCTCTCTGCACATTGCTGCGTTGAGGGGGGGGGGGGGCTGCAACGTCCCTCCACACATACCTGATATTGCATCTTTTTTAAACTTTTTGATGGCGAAATGAATCAGACCCAGATCTTTTAATGTCTTGTCACTTAGGTTACATTATAGTGTCCTAGCCTCAGGAAAAGTTATTATGCTCGCCGGCACTGAAGAATGCTCGAGAGGTCACCGGTTGGCCTGAGATCTTAACCTTCACACTTACAGGAGGAGGTTCCTCACGGCTTTTTCACGAATAACTCGCGTAAAATACGACCGACCGACCGACCACGACAAAACTTTCAATATCCTCGAATTGATCAATGTTATATCTTTCCTGAAAATGACCTTGAACCCAATGGCCTTTGACCCGTAACTTCCTTCTCGACACCATGTCAGGCCAAAATGCCGATTCCATGCATGTCAGCGCATATTATCTACGCGTTTCCCGGCATTTTGTGATTGAAACATCAGGTCCCAGCAGGTGAAATGACCAGGACCGACCTGATCATTTCACATGTCCGATCAGGAGCCGAACGGCTGTAAGGCGGGTTCCTACGGACCATTTCCATCAGTAGACGCTATAAAGCAGCCAATACTGTCAATGTGTGTCTCGTAACCACGCACACAACTTTCTGGAAACCCTAGCTTAATCTGAGCGAAACGACGGAGGCCGCACCCGCTGCCCTCTGGCCGGATTACAAGTGTAACACGTAAATGTCTGGCGAGGCTCGAAAGGGAAGCTTCACTTTCCATTTATCAAAACTTTCATGTCAGGAAGAGAATTACTACGCTTAGCTGGTGTCTCTGTTTCACGTATTCATAAAACAGCGCCTTGTCTGCCGCACTGGCAGCACCGAGAGCCCGCTCACTCGCGCCCACCCCTCCTCCCTCCCTCCCCTCCCTTCCCCCCAAGGGTCAGGCGATCCAGTGGCCCTCAAACCTGACCGCCCACCGCTGCGCCGGCCCACCAGCGCCAACCTGCCATGCTGCGGTACTTTCAAGACAGACTGTACATACTGGTGTCATATTACCACTTACACTGGGACGAGTTCTCAGAGAAAAGTCTCGGTCGCTGGCAGAACAGCACCGTCTTGTACGCCTGACGGTACTGCTTGCTCATGATGACGTAGATGATGGGGTTGACGCAGGCAGACAGGTACACCAGAATGTAGCCCAGAATGTGCACGCCTGAAGCGAAGGAGTCACATTAGATGAATGTGATAGGAGCAACTGCAAACCGTTCAAAAACCGATTCAGTGTAAATTTTCGCTATTTATTATTGCCATTGTATTCGATAAATCAATTACATTTGTGATATCATACATTCAATCCCTCGCTTATAACTATTGTTTATTTCGAGATCCCGAGCACCATATCAAGCATTCAATACCGTCCAAATACCTGGGTATTGCACGGTGGGATCCTTCACTTTGGCGATGGTGATGGGCAGATAACAGACGACAAACGTGACAAACACAGCCAGTGACATTTTCGTGATGCGCATCTCGCTCTTCCTAGAGCGCTCTTCTCGGCTCTTCTTCTGTTGCGAGGTCTCCCGAGCGCTGTGCCGCCGTTGGCGGCGGTGGGACCTGCCCAGAGCGGGGGAGGGAAGAGGGCCGGGAGGGGGCCGGGAGGGGGCGGGGAGGGGGACGGGAGGGGACGCCGGTGACTCACCGGCTCTGCTTTTATCGGGCCACCGCGCTGGCCCGGCCATACGCCGTTAGTCCAGCCATGTGAGTCACGCGCGTGCCACTGCCACAAACGCGCGCTGAACAAATTCAAACAAATAACTTACGTGAATATTTACGACGTCATGATTACAACCGCGGCGGATGATTACAAATCGATATGCAACTTAAATATGAACGTCAAACTGATTATCAACAAACATGACAAACGCAAAGGCAAAAAAAAAACGCAACGGCCACGTACGGACGATCACTTACATGATGACGACGGCGAGGATGCCGGCGTAGCAGATACAGATGGCCAGGGAGGGGATGACGAAGCCGATGATGAACAGGGGAATCTTGGCTGAGCGGCCGTCCACCCTGATAATGGTGCACGTTTTCAGACGGGGGTCGAACCCGAACCGGCCTGCAAACCACGGGTACAGGGGGGTGGAGTGACGAAAATTTACATAGCGAGTCACACACTGGGATATTCATTATAAGCAGTCATGTGAGACAAGCGAGAAATGTCAATACATTTTACATTAATATTTATACAGGATTATGTATATTTTTAGCCATTGCATTTGTCAGCTGATCATTTATCATCGTTGTCAATAGGTATCGCCTGAATAATCTCGCAAGTTTAAACTTTCAGGCCAGGCTACGTTCAAGCTACTCAGTTTCCAACCTGTATTAACTACAGTAAGCTTTTCATATTCGGAAACAAACAGTAATGGCCCACGCGCTGCAGACATCGCCAAGAAATAAACGAATAAAATGCATTTTGATGTTAGCGGTTCTAGGCAGACCGAATGTGAGCGTTATCAGTCCACTATAGTTGGGCTAGTTACCCCAGCTGCCGGCCAGCGTAGGCACCAACATCAGGTAGCTGTAGAGCCAGATGAACGCCAGCTGAGCCCACACCCAGCGCCACTGGTAGATCTTCTGGTACGCCTTGTTGAACGCCACCATCACAAACCTGAACGGAAATGATGTATCGACAGGGCAACGCTTAGTACCTGATAATAGAAGGAAATGAACACCTAATAGATAATTTCGTGTTTAATTTAACCCGCGCCCCGCTGGGCTATTCAGCCATACGCGCCCTGCTGGGGGGGGGGGGCAGATTCTGCCCCCCCCCCCCCTGTCTAACTTCCGAACCGATGGTCGTAGAAAGACGGGGAAAACGGCAATCGAAAGCTCTCAACAAGGCGAATCTTAATAGCTCAATTTTTTTTGCTTTAGTAGGTCAGAGGTCAGGTCAAGGTCAGGTCAAGGGTACAAAATGCAAGTTTCTACAGTATCGGCCTTGCACCGTAATTGCCGAAGAATGGACTGAGACTGATGGCCCAAAACGTGTTCGTAGGCTACCAAGACAATATTTGTTGCATACAATATCATTCAAAGGTCAAGGTCAAGGTCAGGTCAGGTCAGGTCAGGTCACCAAAAACAAAATATAGAAAAGGGCATGTGCGACACATGTTTTATGGGTCATTTTATTCATAGAATTCAATAGGCACACTCAATTAGTGATATGGACCACCTCTGGATGAATTTCAGGTCGAGGTCAGGTCAAGGTCAGGTCAAGTGAGGTCAAATTTTGAAATTGGTTGTTAAGGGCTAAAAAGGTGTCTATCTGATGCAGTCTTTCACGGCGAGTCGAATGGTGCTATTTTTGTTTCCGTACGAGGTCTAGAACTTCAAAAAAAAACATTTTTCAAAAAATTTGTGTGTCGTGACGTCATAAAATTTTGAATAACTCCCACATTTTTGAACCAATTCTTCTCAAAATTGGTATGTAGGTGCACATAGACCAGTTCTTTGACATATATTCCGTTTTTTTCGATACATTCAAAATTTTGGATTTTATAATTATTTTCCCAAAAAAGTCGTTTTTTTTAAATTGGGCCAAAATCCAAAATTTTCAAAAAACCGAGATAGCCATTTGATAGACAAAGTAAAATCACGTGTAACCTTTTTTGTTACGTCTTGATTCCTTTAAAAATGAAGATGTTAGCGGCGTTTGAAATTTTGCGATTTTTGAGGCGAAAATGGCGAACATGACGTCACTAAAACGTCATTTTCTCAAAAATTTCTGACGGATTTCGCTCAAATTTTCAGGGAACGTGTCACATTGATGTATGATAAGGTACTGAAAGTTTGACGTCGCTGGCATAACGCGTTTAGAAGTTATTGGCGAAAAACAGGAGGGGGGGCAGATTCTGCCCCCCCCCCCCCCCCCAGCGGGGCGCGGGTTAAAAACAAGCATCAATGAGTTTGCTTAGGTGCAGAGTGAACGACATTTATGTGAAGCCATTGAAAGGTGGACGCATATGATTACCGCCATTGGTCACAATTGTAGATAAGCAAACGATGAATCAGCAGTCTCGTCAAGCTGTGCCAATGTCACTCACGCACCAAAGCACATACCACAGGGCGCAGATTCCACGGCCGAAAGTGATGACATTTAATTACCTGTTGATTGTGATCTGTGGACAGACAAAATACGGAGCATAAGATGCCGTCTATACGACTCATAAACATGTTGACTAAAACGTACATTTCTACGTTTATCCCCCAGTTTTACAGCAGCAAACATGCACCTAACACTCGCGTTGTCGCGTTTGAGCGAGCGCTGCGGCACAGTCTACCTTCAGGCGTATTAACTGCTGCTGCCATCTATCGATGAGAACGAATAACTCTGTACGACTATAGCTATTGGCTATTCTGCGCGTCCGCCCGTCTGTTCGGCTCGTTCATTATCATTTAGCAGGGGATATCTCTCTCTGGGTAGCTAGGCTAAGTGACAGTTTAATAAAAAATTACGTTCAAATGTCACAAAATCAATCGCTATGCATAGAGACGTGAAGTCCATCATCTCACCATGGCGATTGAAAGCAGGGAACAGCCGACGTTTCCATATTTGAGCAGCGGAAACAGAACGCAGAGGAACTCTTCTCCAAACAGCCAGGCACCGTTAGAGAAGCGAGAAACCTCAAAAGGCAGCACCAGAAGACAGAAAGAGAAGTCGGCGATACATAAACTGAAACAGAACGCTGCGTCAGATAGGTAACGTAACGACAGGTATAAAATTATTGTAATGCTGGCCGATCCAGAAAGGTGGTCTCGGACGCTGCGGGAACACCAAAGAAGTTTTCCTAAATTCCAAAAACTCTTCGGAATTTGGTTCTTTATGAATTGCTGTGCACTTCAGAGCAGATTTTTATTTAAAAAAGATCTTTAGTTTCTTTCTATTCTAGAGAACTGCAAATTTTAGTCGATTTCGAGCGCCGCGTGGGGGAGATATTTGCTTCTATATTTGGTGCATGATAAAGTTATTACACCAGTTAAGAAAAAAGTATATGCACTCAGCACTGATACTGTACCTACCACTATTTGCAAAAAAAGCAATGGAAACTAAAATCTAGCCGCTGACGCTTAGGAATCCTGCCTCAGAATTTACCCAAGAGACGACACACATCTCGCTGGAAGCTCGCAAAGCTTTCCGCATTGTAAAGTGTTTCCGATCTGCGTCATATGATATTCCGACTTACAACATCAGAAGGGTGCGTACGTAACGTAGGACCACCTACGAGTGACGAATCCGGAGCTCTCAGAAAAATCGGCCGCCGGGATTTCCATCAATGCGATCCCGATTTCACGCTGGTGTATCTGATAGCGCTGTTTAATTTGACGCCCACGTCAAGCCTTATCGCCATATCGTAGTTATCTCCTCCCACCCCAGACAAACCGGGCTGGTGGACAATGATACGAGGCTGCCACCTGGAGGTGACGGGTGAAACTAGTGCTTAGCTAACTGTCCGCAGCGTCGCTGAGGGATCAGCAGCTCGTTCGCCATCCGACGATAGACCCCTCCGACGATTCGGGTTCTATACTGGTAAGCGATTAGCGTGTCTCTTCCGAAACAATAGGCGGCGGGAAGTGCAGAGGCCATAGTGACACCTGCCTTACCTTGAATTTGAAGGCACAAGCGAACGTGGAATGTCCAATGGGTAAAGGCTAGGGATGCAAAGAGTTCATACCGAAGCTCTGTCCCCTGACCAAGTATTGGTAAACCCATCTGGAACTTCTAACATCAGAGCCATCAGCCAACACATCCTTAGTTCTGGCCACCTTTCGATGTTTTCGATTTTGCTCACTCCAACCAGGCAGTCGGTGAGGACAGATCCATTAGGAACGTACACACAACTAATCTGGGGTGACTGTTTGAGCGACTAATTGACCTTCTAGTTTCTACCTGGCTGATTTCCGTTTCAACGGAAAGGAAAAAGCGCCGCGTCGCCACGTAACCAATTGCTGGAAGGCTCAATTCAATATGTCCACCCTATCTTCTCATCTCACTGCTCAGTGTCGGTTTTATAGACCGAGAAGTCCAATCCAACAAAAGCAAAGCGGAAGTGCCACTCGTTATGAAAAGACCTTGTTACCTAGAATCAAGGCCCTATATACCCCTAGAATAACTGGTAGGTGGAATGCAATAAGTTGCAATGGGTTGCAATAAGAAAGCAATGTGTCAGGTGAGTCAGGTAAGGAGCCACTTGTCACTGGCTGCTGACGTCACCATGCAGCCGCCAAGGCGAGGCAACACATCCTGTTAGCCATAGGTCAACCATTCTAGCTCAACGTGCCATCAATGCCATTACACACCCTAGACAATATTAAAATGTCTTATCTTCATCGCACACGGCTAACATTGGCAATCGACAGACAAGCTCATTTTACTGCAGTAAGCGGGACATGCCATAACCCACTGACCCATACGACATCGGGAATTGACCAGGATATCACCTGGCAAGTAATTAGATCGACCGAGTGCAGTAGCGAGGCAAGATTGCTCGCTCGACACTCGATGTGCCTCTGAGATCCAATAGGAGAGCGTCAAAGAGCGCGCTAACTTCAGGCGAGCCGCGTGATGGCCCTGATTGAAGAGGAGGCTGCCTCCTCATGAGACGAGTCGACAGGACGGGAGGGGGGTCAGGGGGGGGGGGGGCTGAAGATGATAACTGGGGTAGAGGAGGGAGTGGATATACGTCGGAGGGATAGAGAGAGATAGAGATAGAGATAGAGAGAGAGAGAGAGAGAGAGAGAGAAAGAGAGAGAGAGAGAGGAGAGGAAGAGAGAGAGAGAGAGAGAGAGAGAGGGGGGGGGGGGAGATGGGACGGAGACGAGTTTCGTGGGCAATTTCTCGGGAGCGGCTGTGCTTCACGTAAGCACAGTTTCTGTTTAACACGGAAGCAAAAGTCGCCACCAATAAGATCATAAGTATCAGCTTACGTGTGTTTGATTGGATCAAGTAGCAAAACGAATAGCACAAATAGGATATATAATTTCTACGGCTTCGGGACCAATTCATTTATATATGTTCTTTCGCTCAAACGTCAAACGTCAATGCATTTGCGACCAATGTTTATGTACAATTTTCTGATATGTTGTTAGTGTTTGATGGAGTACCAAACACAAACACTTTGGTAGACTTCCAAACTCTAACAACATATTCGACATTAGCGGACGCGGGATCCTTTCAAATCGACAGACCTGTGACGTCACTCACCTGACGATGAAGGCCGTGGTGACGTTTCGCACGCGGGGACACCGGAGCAGTGCCAGCACCGTGATGGCATTGCCGAACAGACCAACGATCATATAGACGGCGATCAGAAAGGCAGTCAGAGTCATCAGCGGCTGTGAGAACCTGCGGTATGAGTAATATATGTGAGAACCTGATGTGAAAGTCAAACGCGACTGTGAAAAGCTACGGTTTGAGTCAGAAATTGTAAGAATCTGATGTGAGGGCCATCAACGGCTGTAAGAACCTGTAGTCAGAGTCATCAGAGGCTGTGAGACCTGCGGTGCGATCAGATGCAGTGCAGTGACAGACAGTTGTGCATCCTGGCGGGTGAATAGGTACGAATACGTACGAAACGTACGCTGCCGTGCAAAGGCAAAAACCATTATGTCGGGTCAGAGGCCATTACCTCAGGTCAGAGGTCACCCGAACATAATGGGTTTTGCCTTTATCCGGCAGTACGTACGAATACATTACGTATGGGACTTGGGAGCGAGTTTGAAAGTCATTCCGATTGAGATTGGGTGCACTGTATTGGTTTGTGGTTGATGCATTTTTTACCAGCAAGCTAAAGAACAAGTAATGAACAGAAGTAAACAAGTAACAAGTAAAGAAGAACATTGGTATATAAAGAGTTCTCAAAATCTCACCGTCCGATCCCGCAATTCCGGGTAACGGGAGAATTTAGATGCCAAAGTTTCACGTGTCCTTCATATCCGGACACGGCCTGTCCCACTCAACTGACTTTAACTGGTTGCGGCTGCTCCCACCAACCGCAGACCATCCCCGTCAGGAGTCTCAAATATCGAGCGCCGGAGCGACTCGAACCCGGGCTCCCACCACCGGGAGTCCAGCGCTCTACCAACTGAGCTACGCCGTGGGACAGGTTATCGGGTCGAAAGGTCTTTGATAAGCATAAGATTTCACCTACCGAAATGTCTAATAAAACCGTTGTTCCACCGTTTTATTCGGAGGACGTTTCAAACGGATACATAACTTTTGTCTCGGTGTATAATCCAGTTCGCTCTGCCCCGGCCGTTTTCTCGCATCTGTGGCGCTTCTCGAGTTCTGAGGAAATGCGGTTACTTTATCTGACCACCCAGGCTTCCTGGGTGAGCCGTGCCAAGTCAGTGACGAAAGGAAGCCCTAACAAACCGTATCGGGCAGACTCACTGGCACCGTTAAAGCTTAAGTCTCTGACAACAGATATAGGAAGAATGGCTGGGCAATGGGCAAGTAATCGTTCCCTGGATAGTTTAAAACTGAAACAAACATGTACTTACTTGCTGAGCTCCCCGAGGTCCTCTTCACCAGCTGCAGGGTCCATCGTAGAGTTGTCGGACATCTTGTGAGCTTGCCAGCGAGCGGTGCAAATAAACGTTCTGGAAAGTTGTGAAAATAGTTTTAAACTGATTGGAATTGAAGTTATAGGTATTGCTCACACTTAATACGAAATAATTCATGACAAAAAAATATGTAATGTTCCGAAAATATGCAATAGCAATTTATGTTTTCACCATAAATTACGTGAAATTTTATGAATCTAATAAATTATACGTAACACAGCTTTTACTCTCAGCTAAAGCTGCAATTTCCTAGAAAAAGTTGACGTACACAGCTTTTACTCTCAGCAACACCTGCAATTCCCTAAAAAGTTCATTACTAGAAACTGTCCGCCGACAGAGCACGTTAATTAGCAATCACAGCGGTACGAGAGATGTCGAGAAATAATAAGGCAAGTTAGATTGGTCTCACCCGAAGCGGATGTCAGCGACAGTAGCGGCAGAGAGACACCAGCACCAATTGAGGTTGCACCAGCAGTGACGGCGGCTGCACCAGCACTGATAACAGTTACACCAGCACTGATTGCGGCTACACCAGCACCAGCACCAGGTCAGAGAGGTCGCGCAGCTGGGCTGGACTGCAGCCGGACTGCACTCTGGACTGCCCGCCACGGACGGTCTCGGTGGCGGCAGTTCTTCTGAAGGGCGGCGGAAGGAGGCTGGCAGCTATCGTCCGTCCTTCCGGTGGGCGTCTGTGACGTCATACGGCGAGAGAGGAGAGCGGAGAGAGGCAGAGGAGGGAAGAGTGGAGAGGAATTGAGGGGGCATTGAAGGGTGAGGAAGGGGAACAGAAAAGGAGGAAAGAGGAGAGAAGAGGAGAGGAGAGAGGGATAAGAGAGTTACTGAAGAGGATCGAGTATACATACACACGTTAGTCGGTTACGAGTCTAGAAAATAAGGAAAGCAAATCGCCACGGACTGCTGAGTGCCTACCTAAATGTGAGTAGATTAAAAGGTACGTACATACCCACCTCGGGGCCTTAAACAAAAGAAGGCTCACTTTTCTTGGAAAGTCGCCGAAATACCCAACAAGGAGAGCCTCATGGGAAATCTAATTAATTGCGTATAACTAAGTCGTTACTCTTAGTTAAACCTGCACTTTCCTAGCAAATTGACACAAAACAGCAGTTCCAGACATTACGACACAATACGTCTTCGTGATTTGATCTAGCCCGGTCTGATTCGATTATGGTCTACCAAGGAAAATCAATTCCAATCGGAGAAAATAACCATATCAGCTGTATGTACCTGCAGATCCGTCCAGGCTTCTGAATGCAGTAAATAGTTAGTTACGTTATTACAGCTCGATGAACAAGAGTTCGCCTTTCTAAAGCATTCGATCTGTATTATGAAAAACGTAAAACGATGAACTGCACATTGGAAGAAGCGAAGCATAGCTGTTTGTACCAAGAACCAGCACATATCTGTCTAGTGTCGAACAAATAAAAAACGCATTCTAGCTGCATTTTTCGATGACGTCAATGCGACTTAACCCTCGCCGGCACAGGCCATTTTGTGTCCTTCGACGGCACGAGGGGGGGTTGGTACGACCCCCCCTCGCGTTTGGCCCCTGATCGAGCTAGAGCTTCGCGGAAAAAAAACGAGCGTGTTGCCCGTCACGAGAGGAACCCAATGATACCCAATTTTAAGGTCCTAGTTCATCGGGTGACCTTCCAGGTCAGGTCAATGACCCGAAAACCGGGAAAATCGGGACCTGTTAGAAAGTCGTAAAGTGTGGCTGCTATGTGGTTTTCCGGGGTGCTTGCTGATCACGAATATCGTGTTAGTTTTGATCAGAGATGATGTCTTTAAGCATTTAGACCAGGTCGGGTCAGGTCAGGTCAGGTCAACCGGTAGGGGTTGTGACGGGTATTCGTAATACGTGTCAACCGCCTCTGACAGCTTCGTAACATGTTACGAAGGCACCAAAACTACTTCGTAAATGTTCAAATGGTTGCTAAATTCGAATTCAGCTCCAAAAACTAGCCTAGAAACATGTAAAACTCGAAAAAGTGAACCGAGGTCACCCGAGGTCACCAAAGGTCAATGACCTGACCTGACCTTCAGGTGACCTTGAAACCCACCCTAATGTATGGGAGCAACAGCAAATCACATGTTTGAACGTTTGAAACCACGAAAAGCTTGCAAACGCGCGGCTAATGCGAGCCGACATACGCCGAATAGCGATTCCGGCCAAACATGGTCTCGGAAAAGAGGTCACAGGTCCAAGGTCATTTGGGTCAGGGTCATGAAATTTTTTAGGGTAGGTGTAGAATTGATCAATGCGAGGGTACTTAAAGTTTCGTCGCGATCGGCCGCTTTTTACGCGAGTTATTCGCGAAAAACCTTAGGCCCCCCCCCCCCTGTGCCGGCGAGGGTTAAGGGCGGCCGAGCCGGATGCTTCTATATAGCGGTGCATTATATGTCATAACCCATTGACGATTTTGCTTCGTCTCTTTGAAAGTCGCAGAACCAGATATGCGTATGTTCCATGTTACTCTTCTCATCGGTTATATAGCCAGAACCGGAAATCCGACACGAACTAACCACAGTAATCAAGTAATCACAGGTAGGCACAGTGTGGCGGTGGCGGCACATCTAACAGTGCACATCACCCAGCACGAGCCGCAGTCCCGTGAAAGACACCGGAGACGCGCACCTAACGAGCTGGTCCCGGCGAGAGGCGGTGAGACCAGTAACGAGCCCAACGGCCACCGTGCCAGGCTGCTCGGCCGTGGATCGTCTAATGATGTTATGTATGTGGGGGTGGCGGAGCCGCTCATATAGTCACTTTTTTAGCTAAGGTGGTGAAACATGGCATGGTTATCACATAAACAACAGCTGAAAAAAGCTGGTTACACAAAGACCTCGCTCATTCGTCGCTGGTTTTTCAGTAGTCCGCTTGGAAAAGATATCCTTATCTTCCACTCAGAGCCACGAAGAATCATCTACATGAATCAGAAGGCGCATTTATATAACATTTTTGACGAGGCTTCAGCTCATTTATTTTACGATAATTTCGATGCAGTGATCTTTGCATATTTAGAGGGGATAATTTTGTAAATTGTAAAGCACCACTGGCATCTCTTGCAACATAACGGGCGGAGATATAAGCTTGCAACAATCCCTATCTTAATGGGGCTGGGTGACAGAATCCTGCTCTGCCGGCATCCTTTCGAGCCGTTCCTTAGCGATCACAATGTCGGCCGCCCGCCGCTCCAGCGCTATACGGGAGAGTACGGAGGACCGAGCTATTCTTGGTGACCCCCCCATACTCTCCCCTCCCCCCAGCGGGGTAGGTGGGCGCCCAAGCGTGAGCACGCATGACCCGAGCCCACCCGCCGCGACATCGGCTGCACCAGTCGCAAGTAAAAGGGCGACAAGGAGGAAGGTAAAAAATAAAATACCATTACCCGATTACGATCAATAGATAATGCATTTATAGCATTTTATCAGCCCTCTCACAACGGGCCATGTAAACCCTAGGAGCACTACTCCTCCGCCATTGCTATTGTCAGAATGCACTGTAAAAAATATTGACTAGCCCCTCGTCAAATGATTCTCAACGCTAAATGTCGGGGGTACAGACTAGTTTTGCATCCTACTTTTGACACACGCTGCGAGCCCCTGGCTTGTTTTGTGTTCGTCAGATGACAGTTACCAGGTGTCGGTTAGTTTTTAGCACGTCCCAAAAATAGCTGGAGCGTTTCTGCCTTGTTTTGGAAGCAGGTCCTCGTTAATGCTGTGTGTGATAGCAAAGTACCTAGTAACAATAATAACGAAAAACAATGTCAAAACGAGGGCGGCTTGTTTGGTGACGATGTTCAAAAGAAGCATCGTCTTGCTCCTACTTAACCCGCGACCTGGTGGGGGGGGCTATTTTTTGCCCCCCCCCCTCCAGACTTTTCGATATATCTCCAGAACCGCTGCGCCGATTCACCAAACTTTCAGTACCCCCCCCCCCCCCCCCCCGGACATCAATTTTACACATGGTGACCAAAAATTTTTCCAAAGGCTGTAATAGGTTGGCCGGAAATGACGTCAGAGTGACGTCATGTTCTGCCGTTTTCGACCCAAAAAAGGGTTTCGCGGAAAGAGCTGTCAGGCCTATAGCTTTGCAAATACAGAAAAATGATAAGGACATAAAAGCTGTAGAATTGACAGGGCTACAAAACTGCAATCTCGGATTTTTTAAATTTTTGGATTTTGACCCCCAAAAATCAAAAAATATTTTTTTTGGATATAATAATCGAAAAATCCAAAAAGTTTTTTGAATTTCGCAAAAACCGGAATAGATGTGATAGTCCTTACCGCCGTCCATCCACATACCAAATTTGAGATTGATACCTCTTTTTTTGGCGAAGTTATAGCGAAAAAACTGTTCAAAATTGATTACGTCAAATTTACAAACTCAATTTTTAGCAATTCTAGACCTCGTAGCGCAAAACAAAGACCACCATTAGACTCCCCGTGACGAGCTGCATCGAATCAATACCCATTTTATGCAAAACTATCAACTTTAAAATTTGACCTTTTTGGCCTGACCTTGACCTGACCTTGACCTGAGCTTGACCAGAAAGTGACCTAAGCCGTACCTGATAGTCTTATAACCAACACCATTGAGTTGGAAATGAAAAATTGGCCATAAAACATGCATCACACAACCTTAGTAAAGTTGGGCTCATGTGACCTGACCTGTGACCCTTGGTGACCTGACCTGTGACGTGACCTGGTATTGTCAGTGACCTCTAATATCAGCATATATACTAGGCAACTGACGCCCTATGGCTGATTCTCGACAAAATGCGTTTTCCTCGGTGTTATAGCGCATTCCCTAGAAGACCCGTGAACGGTGAAACATTTCATCTTTGACCTGACCTGTGACGTCATCAGTGACCCCGAGGTCAATGAAATTTGGTTTCCTTCGACAAATTTGACAGGCCTTTCGAACGTTGTTTGAATTTTGCGGATCCGTCCAGTAGTTTCGGAGATACGAGGGGGGGGGGGGCAAAAAATAGCCCCCCCCACCAGGTCGCGTTATAAACAGACCCCACCAGGGCGCGGGTTAACGAATGAAGCTCAAACTAGGTCAAAACTAACGTATTGCTATACATTTGAACCCCACGACGAACCCCCCAACTAGGCCCTAATCAACCCATAGTCAGATGACCAGCAGATCCTACGCCGCCCAATCCAGTCATCGAATTTGCCAGCGAATTCGTTTGAAGACCATCATATTATTAAACATCGGTGGTCTTCAACGAAATCCCTTACCGGTTTGATGACGAATTCATCCGGCCCATTCCAAAAACGCTCAAGATAAAATGAAAGTGTATTTCTGAAATAATGTGCTTTCTTGCAATGCACCTTTCGTATATCAAGCGAACCTTTCACTTCCAGCGCCCGTTTACAGTTATCAATCGAATCAGAAGCATGCACATACCTATCGATAGATCTAAACCTAAGAACACAGAAGACATTTTGTAGAGTACCTGTCTGAGCCTATGCAATGGAGCCCGTGAGCCGCCCAACCGCAGCTGCCTCATGAACTTGATGATAGGTCTGAACCTCAGATTGGCCAGAGCTCGGCCGTCAATAACCAGCTTATTTATATCCACAGTTGTAGTGACTTAGGGTTTGGAATTTGCCAAACCTAAGTTTTGATTACCAAGAGAAGTTTTGTACTTCTTGCACTTGCCTTTTCTTTATAACTTTGGCGGAAATCGTCGTAGTGAAACTTCAGTGTTCCGTTAGCTGTCAGTTCTTGAGAGAGTTGGCCA